CTGTAATATTGTTTTTAAATTTCTAAGAGATAAAAGTTTTAGATGAAACTATGTAGATGAAACTCTAATTGGATTTGTGATTGAAATGTGCCTTTTCTTTCACGACCTTATAAACGTTGCAACGTGTTAGTAATCCAATTTCAATATTCCATACGTTATGATAAGTATATTAACAACGCTGTTCAATTCAATTCAATTCAATGTATGTATAATTTGTTGTAAATAGAACGAGAAATTGTTGTCTCAAACCCTGTTGTATGTACATGAATATTGTAAATTTCATTTAATATAATGGTATATAAATTAAATAAAATGTTGGATTTATTTGATGTCCGTTTATTTTGTTCACGTGCAAAATGGTGACGCTCTATCTTATATATATAAAATTCTCATGTCACAATGTACCATACTCCTCTGAAACGGTTTGAGCGATTTTTATGAAATTTTATATGCATGTTCAGTAGGTCTGAGAATCAGCTACTATCAATTTTTCATACCCCTAAATGATAAGGGTTGTTCACCCCTAACATTTATTTTTATTTTTGGACTTTTTTCTTGTTATAATGAGGCATTAATGAGGTATGTGGTTGAATGAGGTTTTGTTATTTTTATACTCCCTAATCGTTCACAGCGCTACATGCCTCTTTCACGTATGTACCAAATCCTTACACACATTAAGTTACTTTTTTTTCTACACTAGAAATTCACTAGAAATCTTATATATGGCAAAACAACGTTTGCCGGGTCAGCTAGTATCTATATCACGGAATAGATAAATAAGGTTGGAATGGTAATGTAGGCGGGGCAGGCGTGCCACAGTTATGATTGTACAAACATAACTCGACCGATTCTTTCATTCACCGCGTTTAGTGCGCTTCGGACTATTTGGGCGAACAGATCTCCGCTTTATAGTGCCGTGTTGTGCAATTATAATTTGTAAAACAAAAAATCAGACCTCAAGTATAGAGCGAGGACGTATATCTTTCGATCGGTAAGTCGAAATTACCATTTAATTACAATATTATTTGTCTAAAACATAAAAATATACTGAGCATTATGAAATTCCAAACATTAACAATATTATTGCAGCAAGTTATAAATAGCATACATTGCGCGATGTGTACTCGCCCAATGAACGCAATGACCAAGTCAGCTTCCAATGTACTACATGCATTGCGTTCTCTACACTTCAATCTTTGAAATTTCGGCCTTTGCCCTGATTGGCCGTGGTGCACGGCGCTAGTTTGTCGATAGTGAGGTGACCATGTGGTGAAATAAAATCATCGACAGAATTCTCGACTATATTTACATTTGACATGGATAATTTTTGCATTATTTTATATTTAATTAATGATACCTAGTATATTCTTAGTGAGACGTATTTTGAGTAAAATAAATATGTATTATTATTATTGAATTATTATCATTGAATTAAAGTGAAGGTATAATATAAAGGGACATGTAGACCTCTAATTTACGGGTATTTACTATATTGTCTAAGACGTATTAAAATCTAAGTAAAATGCTATTTGACTTATGCAGTAAATTAAAAATTTTAGGTTTCCTAAAGAACCTAACGCCAGGGAACAATGGATTGACGTGACAGGTAGAGGAAACTGGAGACAAAGACGAGTACTATTTGCTCTAAACATTTTACTGAAAATGATTTTATCATAAAAAAAATCAGAATACACTTAGTTTTGAAAAATTCATTCGCAATTAATAGCAAGCGCCAACTGCTTAACAAATACGTTTTATTCCAGCGACAGTGACTATTTGTAATTAATAAAAGTAAAATAGTTTTTTTTTTCAATATTTATTTCATGTTTCATTTTCTCCATTCATTCATCAGATAATTTATCGATAAAGAATATCGATTTTATCAAGCACTAGCGTGTATGAACATTTTTATTGCCTTTTTGCGTGTGTGAGTGTGTATGCCTACGGGTGTTTTGTGCTAGTTTGCGAACGAATATCTGTCCTGAGATTTATGTGTGGGTGTTTTTGTTGTGTGCGAAATACTTATAATCACAGTGTGTGTATGTGTAGAAATTAAAATAGTGGGGATGAAGCGGCGACACTGGTTCTAATACAAAATTAGAGCAAAGGCCTTTCCAACCTTATTTATCTATTCCGTGATCTATATATATATAAAAGTGAATTGCTGTTCATTAGTCTCGCTAAAACTCGAGAACGGCTGGACCGATTTGGCTAATTTTGGTGTTGAATTATTTGTGGAAGTCCAGAGAAGGTTTAAAAGGTAGATGAATATGAAAATGCTCGGAATTAAATAAAAATAACAATTTTGTTTTTCCTTTGATGTGTCCCCCGTCGGACCGATTCCCTTTGTTTGTTTTAAGTTTATTTATACAAAAGTTTAAGTCTTTTATTTACCGACTGAGGCACTAGGAAGGCTGCCGGGTCAGCTAGTATATATGTGGGATTTATGAATGGTAGGGTGCAGATTACCGCAGAAATTCACACAAAATAATTAAAACAATCTTAACGTCGTACGATCCTTTACTCCTTCTTTTGACAACTCTCTCATCATCTAATTTTACTTCACAGTGACATCTATCAATATTATAAAAGTGACATAAAAAGAAAATAAGAACAATCAGAATCCCACATATATATAATATAATTCGAGGTGTAAAAGGTTATTTGGTTTTGGTAACATTTTTCCAATTTTAAAAGAGAGCTAATGAAAGTTTAAAATTTGGAAAAAAATATAACAAAAAAATTCTTTAGTTATTTAAATTGTATTGGTATGGTAAATTTAAATTGAAGTCAAAACATCGAATTGTTGATATTGTTACGGGCTGGGGTTCGGGATAAATAAAACTTCAACCGAAGTACAAATTAAAACTCTATTTAACACTTAGAAAACTTACAGAATACTTTACAGTTCGTAATTCACGTCTTCCGCTTCGCTTCAGGCGATCCCTTCGCTGTTTCGCTTCGAGTAGAACCGCTTACTAACTGCCCTCGTGTCATCTCTGTCGCGCGCTCAACGCTTTTATAGTCGATACGACAACTTTACAATTATCGAGAATATTCTCGGCGAGACCAGTCGTTTCAATATGCCTTTCCGCTATTTGATAACAGATGGCGTTGCACTTCTCGAGCGTTCTCGATTTTACTAGCTCTTTTGATATTCGTTTCTGCTATTCGACGACAGATCGCGTTACTCGTACCGGCGTACAATACTAATACCAAATAAAACGGACCTTTAATTACAAATAAATTTTTTGCGTATTAAGCGAAATGTCGCTTAAACCAAATAGTTATACACCCCTCGATATTATAATCGGTGGGTAACGCGCAGAGTGCGAAACTCGTCACCTGCAGAATGTGAAAATCAGGAATATTGGTTAAAATTTTTAATCTTATTATTAATTAAACATAATAAAATTAGCACCGAATAATCGTTGATATTTTCGTTTGACTGAAGTGCTCGTGTGCAGTGGTTAACGCGCACTTGTGCTAAACCGAGGGTCATGGTTACGATTCCCACATCGGATAAACATTCGTGTGATGAACAGGTTTTTATTTATTTATTTATTTATGTACACACAAAAAAAAGACATAGTACAGAGTAATAGGAAAATTATGTACAAAGGCACTGCTTATTTCTTTAAGAAATCTCTTCCAGCAGGTTCGTTTGCTCTTTGTGTGGCTGTTTTATATCTATGTATGTATATATTTAAACGTATTTAAAACATGTATCAGTGTCTGTCTAGTTCTAATATGGAATAGTTCAAATATGGTCTGGGGCTTGATGAACGTGTGTGACCTATCCTTGTATTATTATCCTATCTTGGAGTTAAAGGTTGGGCAAATAATTCCTCCAAATATGAAATGTTGGGATCTTTATGTCATTCCCGTGTTCTGTGCCCCTCAAACACCATGAATTCCGCAATACCATTTGAAGATTAGAATCTTTAGATTTGATCAGAGTAACCATTGCTCAAGATGTTTATTCTTGTCTTTGCTAACGATGAGACAAATTATGCTAGGCATATTTTCCACCTTCCGCACACAGAATCGGCAGGTTACGTCATCAGCCAAGTAAATCTCGCGTAGGCGCTCGCCAGTGCAGAAATGCATAATCGTCGGGTAAAAAATAAAAATGTACTTTTGAATTTTCAAAATTTTATTGTCCTTTTTTTTATTCAATATATTTACATCTCGACAGCTCGTCGTCCTTATAATCCAAAGAGAAACTTTAATAATCACATATGAAATCAATGTACTTAACATATCGTTTTAAAGTCACTAAATTATAATTAGAATTTGTCTTATATAATATAAATATAACTTTTCTATGACGTTCTCGGCGACGTCGCATTCAATCACCAAGTCTGAGCTTCATTGCTCCTTTCATAATCATTTTATAATCACAGGAAAAGGGATACTTTTCACTTACTTTTTTTAATTCATTAAGCATAAACTAAACTATAAACTACTTCAAAATAAGCCAGTCCGAAAGCAAACTAAGCATTAAACAAGACTAACTTCGTAATGCGTATATTTTCCCACAATTTTTGTCCTATATTATACATAATCTTACATTAAAGTGAATGCAACTTTATGTCAATGTGCATAAAGCACTAAATGCAATTGAATTTTGGATTACATAACCGAATAAATAATTACAAATGTCCAAATACACTTTATGATGGTTTAGTTAGGTACGTGTAAGTAATGAATCGTATTCCGTTTTAAAGAATAAAAATATAGCAGTGTAACTTATGGCACCACATGCTTACAGCACACCCTAATGTAAATTTTACGAATATATACATTTACAACTAATATCCTATACACATAACAGATCACTAAATATGTATCAAGTCTATATAAGCTGTTGTTTGACCTGATTCGCTTTTGTGGAAGACATCGAGTGATTTTTTTTTTGTTTATACGTAGCTATAATTTTGTTTTTTTGTTTTTACGTAGCTATAATTTTGTTTTTTTTTTGTTTTTANTAATGTAAATTTTACGAATATATACATTTACAACTAATATCCTATACACATAACAGATCACTAAATATGTATCAAGTCTATATAAGCTGTTGTTTGACCTGATTCGCTTTTGTGGAAGACATCGAGTGATTTTTTTTTTGTTTATACGTAGCTATAATTTTGTTTTTTTGTTTTTACGTAGCTATAATTTTGTTTTTTTTTTGTTTTTACGTAGCTATAAAAAAATCGCACAGTTAGATTAACGTCAATTTACAGATAAATTAACCTTACATATATTTTACTAACGTAATAAAAGAAAGCACATTTATATTTTTATCGTAACCGCGTTTTAATTACTGCCTGAAATACACCACCCGTACTTAAATCAATATAGCTATAACTAAGAACATTGTATATCACATTTTTTTTTATTAACATAGTCACCTCTACGATCATTCTAACTACCTATGTAGACTATTAAGTACAAATAAAATGGAACATGACTATTGCATTGTTTATTTTAGTGCATTTTCGCTTAGGAACGATAAAGGTGGTGTTAAAATAATTGATCCTATTCTAAAAAAACATCTTAACGATCACATATTTCTATACAGCAATCTATAAAGAAAATGAAATTAGATCTACGTTAACTTATTATGACTGGAAGTGACTACAATACGAAATTCAAAGCAACAAGTTGATCCTATCACATAAACATACAAACTGAAAGAGCAGACGCTTTCGTTGCAAGGAACAAAAAAAAATTTCCCTAAATAACTAATTACGCAAAATATTAGAAAAATAAACAGTCCTTCGTCTACTATCAGACAACTTCCTACAAATAAGTTTTAGTTTTATAATAGTATCTGGTTTATATATTTGTTTGAAAGTATTATAATATACATACAATCTGTATATAACTAAGATAAATATAATCAAAAAAAATAATAATGAAAACTAAAGTTAGTTTTTACAACGAACAAGCGTAATTTATTGCCTTCCCCCGATATAAAATAAACTCTGATAGTGTGTAGGTGTACCAATTTTAATTTCAAAGTGGCAAATACAAGCGCGTCGTAATGTCGGGTGTATATTTTATTCGAAGATGATCAAAGAGTGTCAACATTATAATAATACTAATGTATTTAGTGAAACCGATACCATCCAAAGAAAATCATTAACATATTATTATTATAAAATAATTAAAACGTGTATCTAACTTTGGTCCCGCGTAAACAATATTCAACACACATAATATGAACAACAGCTAATTTATCGGTAAAGCGTAGGGTATTTGCCGCATGAAACTGATAGTCCTTAATTATATAAGAGGTAGATTGCAATTTCTGAAGCCGTATTAACTAGCATGTTTATTAAGGCTTACCAAGGTCACGTTCAATGCAAGTAATAATATAATTAGTGAACGTACAGACTAGAGGCAATTACAAGTAGCACGTAAGGCTTACAGTTATGTATTCACAATTAGTATATACGTACATTAACTAGGAGAGACATACGATTGTCAGTCTTTGTATCGATCAGTCCGCCGTCACGAATGCATCTGGCAACGTTTGTTGTAGTTTATAGTATTTTCGTACTGATGCTTCGTGATTACTTAATTAGATTGTGGAGGCGCAGAGCCTGTCCAGGTTTAGAAGTGTACATCTCTGACGTCGGTGGGTGTGGCGGCGTTACTGTGCGCCTTGTCGTGCGGGGGGGCGGGGGGCGGCGTCCAGCCCGCCGCTTCTCGCGCCTGACCGTTTGGGGGACACGAGTCACGCTCCACTATCAAACTTTGCACCATATCCTCGATCTGTTCGAGACAGGTCTGCAGGCAATCCTAAAAGAAATTTAAATTTAGACTTTGGATTCACCATCTAATTTGATTTTTGTTCTGTTTTTTTCTTATTTTTTTTATACTACATAGTACCATGTTTTAAGTCTGTACACACGTACCTAGCCTTCATTCCCGCAAAGAACCAAAGGGAAACGGGGGTGACTGAAAATCGGCGCTGTTCGATTTATCAGTCTTGAACACCATTAGTTGAGCCACCTCCTTTTGTCTTTTTCTTTTTTTTTTCTTTACTTTTTTTTTATATTTTAGTTTATTTAATGTGAACGGCAATAAATCATTTTACTATTATTATTATTATTATTATCTAATAGGTATTATTAGGCACACAGTAAATGCTTGGGAAAATCGATTACTTACTAAGTCAATGCGCGTGAGCTCTTGGAGTCTCGATAAGTAGCCATCGTGTTCGAGACCTCGTAGTGCAGCAGCGATGCTGCAAGCGGCAAGAGTGCTTGAAGAGTACAGCGTGAATTCATAATCTGTAACAATAGAAATTCGTATTAGCTAAAAAAAAAATTTATTGATTAGATGGGTGGTCGACCTCACAGCCCACCTGGTGTTAAGTGGTTACTGGAGCCCATAGACATCTACAACGTAAATGCGCCACCCACCTTGAGATATAAGTTCTAAGATCTCAGAATAGTTACAACGGCTGCCCTACCCTTCAAACCGAAACGCATTACTGCTTCACGGCAGAAATAGGCAGGACGGTGGTACCTACCCGCGCGGACTCACAAGAGATCGTACCACAATTAAAAATAAAATTCATTAAAGCATTCAATGTTATCGCGTTTTCTTTTCAATTGCTGAATTTAGTTATCATTGTAGCTTTCCTAACGAACATTCCTAAACGTGATAGTTTTTCGAGACGGTCCAGTAGTTGTGGGTAAATCTCGCCATCTCACTTGCACCGGCCGTCACTCAAGTCTGGAGAGTGTAGGCTCAAAGAAGCCGGCACCCGCCCTCGCGGCCGCATTCCACAGCCTGCAAGCGCATGCTCGACTTACTTGAATATTTCTCACGGACTTAGTTTGGCAAGCCCTCGCACTATATCTGGCACGATATTGTAATTCATGTCCTTACGTTCAACTGATAAAACTGCATACAAGTGAAAGTAATAACCCTATTAGTCGTACGCAGTGCCTATCCGACGTTATTGTCGTAATACATTATTTAAGCCTCGAATAATATTAAAAACGCATATTTAAACACGATGTGTGTATTTACAAACGTGACTTCTTGTAGAAGATTAAAAGAAGTTACTAATAAAACTCGTAATTAAAATTGAATCTGGTAGTTTTTGATAAGGTAGTTTGGTAGTTTTTGGTAGCTATGTAATAAATAAGGTAATTTGGTAGTTTTTGGTAGCTATTTGTAATGTGAGATAAAAATGAAAAACGAGTCATGATTATTAAATTTTTATGACACGAAAACGAAGTAAATATAATATAAATTTTGTTTTAAGGGCAATTCGTAAATAAGTACGGTAATTGAAATTATTCGCCGAATGAAACAAATGTCCGGTGTTTACGCGTCAGGCCTAGCAGACAATGACACCCGCAAAATATATATTTGTACAAATATTGAAGAACCCGGACTGATGACCACGACCGCTCTGCCAAGAGTGCGAATGACTGAGACGAAGAAGATCAATTATTGATGGTAGGGCATAAGAGGTACATCCATCCATCCAACCTATTAATTATGCCGCGAAGCGGTTGTGCTCAACGGTTGGATCGGTGTGTTGCGTTGTGGTGAATAAGAGTGGACTGTATTATTAGTTTGATATTTTTATTTATCTATAAGTGACAAAATAAAGAATTTAAAATTAATGACTATAAGAAATAAGAAACAGATGTGTCGCCCTTGATGGCTGGAAATGGAAAGGGGTAAAGCGTCATAGCGGACGTCGCTCGTTGACACCTTTGGACGTTCCGAATTCAAACACGGTGGGACAGCCGTTAAACAATACAATGAAGTTTCGACCTCATGTCTCAAGCATTCACGTTGTCACTTTCACTTAACAGCAGGAAGAGGCTGTGAGCTCGTCCACCCATCAAAGTAATAAAAAAAAACTCCCAGCCACAAAATCGATAATTATTATGTTTTAAAAGTTTTGCGTTTCTTTTTTTTGTATTTAAATGCTCAAATTTACAATGATGTCATTTGTACCTATTCGGGTTTTTTTATACTTTAGCTAAACATATCTCATCGATTATTATATACATTTTATTACTTCAAGTGTGTATCTAACTTTATTTTATAGACCTTAGTCGTTCCCACGCCTTCGCAAATATAAATTCGAATCAAAACTACAAATGACCATAAGCAGACGTCGCGTACAATGATAGGGAAGCCACCAATGGCCCTCCATTCATCATTAAGTAGACTCCATTATGTGAGCCTTTTTACAGATATCGAACACTCAGCTTATTTAAAAAGATTTATTTCCTTCTTTTTTTTTTTAATTTGCATGTCGGCATACCGGAGATAAAGGGGACGGGCGGAGGGAACGAATAAAAAGAGCTCCGAAACAACGAAAGCGGCCGTACTCGGAGCATTTGCATAATCTGATGTTAATCAAACAGTACCGGCGCGGACCGGTCGTGGCAATACAAAAACTCCTCATCATTGTCAAAATTAATAGATTCTGTGGCTCTAATTTTCGTATCGGGATTGCTTCGAGTTCGTAACTGTTATTGCGGACACACACGAAGCGGATACGAAGCTACACCTCATAGGTAACGAGGCGACTACTTAAATACCTGCCGGAGGAAGTGCGCGAGGAAGTTTTGATCCCAGTACGCTTTTGTAATATGTAAATTTAAATAATTGTATATGATATTAGTTTAGAACAAAGTTCTCAAGCGTTCCACACGCTTTTATTATCAGAGTTTTATTATCATCAGTGTTATATCGTTTTTTATAATTTTCTATGTCTATCGTCCATAAAGATGGAATCTTTCGGAATTAAGTCCAAGGGTGTTTGTTGCGTATTGCATTAGGATGTGCGCGTGATAACTGCAGATACAAAGTTCGCGTATGTCATGGGTTATGGAACATGTAATTGGAATGACCTTGATGACCGAGGTGTTACTAACCTGCGTGGATAAGTTGAGAGTTTATTTAACATATAACTAAAACTACGTGAAGCGTATACCGTACGCCAAGAATTCTTCAAACCGATAAGATTGAAAAATAGAAAGTAGAAAATATTCGACCGGTGTCGCCTTAATAAAATGTACTTTTTACCGGAACAAATACGGCTAATCACACAGCGCAAGAGAAGGCACTCTTCGAAGGTAACATTGAACCTTTGCTACCCACTAACCGTATCCCGTCACTAATCATTAACCGTTCGGTGCCGTTCACACGTTAGCTATCAAACTGATAAGATAGACCTGCCACCAAGCATAGATATTATTGTGCTCACATAATATCTTACGTACGTAATTATGTATGACATACCAGTTGACAAACAATCGCAAATAAATAGGTAAGTTCGTTAAAAAGTGAATTACATGTAATAGTTTTATTTAAAAGCAGCGCAAGAGAAACCTTATAGGGTATTAAATAACCCAATATAAATTTAATATCCGAATGAGTTGATTGCTTATGAGTTTGGAGTAAATTGTGCCATTCAAATAATGATACATAATGCGGGTTCGACCGATGCCGCAAATTGTAAGAGGCACATACGAGTGAAAAAGCACACGCATTTAATTTAAAGAATAATAACTAGTTCATTAATAAAATATTAGGATCATGATCGATGACAGCAACGTATGAGCGTACTGGTATAACTTAATTTAGTTGTTATGATTCATTTTTGTCATAAGAGCTGGAGCGTAAAGTTTTTATGTAAAATAAAAATAAAAAAAACAAGAAGACCAGAGCCGCGGCGAACAACAAAAACCGTTGCACAAAAACATATGATCCCAAGAGGGTCGAGGGGGTTGCGGGGGAGTCCTGAGGCGTGCTGGAATGCGCTCGGGCAAGCGGCGTGGGAGGCGGGACACACACGCCGCCCTCCGCGCCCTCGTCGCGCACTCTACCCTCACTGTAAACAAACCTATTCACATCTGTAGCACTAGTTTGCCACAGGACAGCACTATTTTCATCTCATATAAGCGACATAACAATGTTTATCTGTCCCATGTGTTCTTATATTATACTATAATCAATATTATAAAGACTCTAGATCGAATTTATGTTGGAAGACGAACGTACTTATTTATTTTTACCATAAAGTATTGTCTATTGTCTGGATAGCAAACCGAGTAAACTTATGTACCTACTTTTTTAAGTTTTACAAAGGAACTATTTTATTATGTCATCACTTTTGCTGATTAATGTTAGAGATGGACAGTGTGGTTTTTTGATAAAAATCACGAAAAACTTATTTCTCGTAACTCCGACAAGGTAATTATCATGTAAGCTTTTAAAGAACCCGGTCGTATCAAGACCAAGGTCAATTAAATTAGTAAATGAAGAGCATTAAGTTCTTATTCGACTCGTTATGCTAAAATCGTTTTTTTTTTTCTCCATAAAAATATAATATTCGGTGTTAAAACAGTTTTCAAAGGTTCAGTGACACGCTGGAGAACACCAACGTGGTCTCAAGGCTCGAGCCGACACACGACATCCGTATGTCGTATAGGTATTGTAAATAACGTACCGAGAATTGAGCAATAAATTAATATAGTATATCCAGTGTTTACTATCAACTAATACATCTTATAAAGTGTTTTCTGGTGAATCAAGTTTATACTATTTATTTATTGTCACAAACCTTGTATAGTAATAAAGTACATGCCTTCATGGCATTAACCTGAAATTCTTAAGAATATTGATTGCGAGAAGTTTTCTAATCAATATGCATATCCTCACCTCTTGCCGCTAGTGAAATAAACGTCTTTGCATGCCTTTGCACCATTTCCACGTTGACAAGGCCTCGGATTGGCAACCGCGATAGCAGAAGAGGCAAGAAGTCGTGCGCTGTCACCCCTGCTACATCCCATTTCAGCTTCGACAGCACTAGCAACTCCCAGCTCTGTTAAAAAAGGAAAAATACCGTTTAAAAATACATTTAAAAATATATTGTTTAGGGAATATGGTCTCTATGTTATAATAAGTGTATAAATAATGATCAAATACCGATAATAATTTTAACAGCATTTTTAATATGCAGGATTAATAAATGATCACTGTATTTCGAGAATTGCTACGTTTGCTCACATGAGCTTGTAAATTTTTGGATTGAAATACAAAATGGTGCCTTAATCGCCCATGCTGCTTTAGTTTTCCGTTTAGTATTAATATAAAACGTGATGATTTGACAAGTTAATAATAAAGGTGTGTTCATTATGTTCTATTTGAACGTTATTTGCACATATTTCATTTTTAATAAATGTAAATGAGACTAAAGAGTAAAATAACATTTGTCGCCTGCCGTATCCGGTGTAATAATCGTAAAAACGCGGCAAGTTTCTCTCAATTTCCCGGAACGGCGCATAAGTACACCAGCAGTACTTTGTTATGCAATCAACTACAATTCTTTTGTTATATGAAACACATTCTTCTTTTTTGGAACAAAACAAGTTTAACTGTAGCTGCATAGTATGTTTGTCGTACCATAATTTGTACTTTATTATCAAGCCAGCTGTGAGATTTTAAAATATCCTTAATGATATGTAATTATTAGCAATTTATTTCGATGTCGCCTAAATGTTTAACCTAAAAAAAATTTAAACGAAATTATGTAGATACGTAATACGACCACACGATACCCTTGATAAGTTAGTATTTTGTCAGTTATTTTTTTATGAATAGCGTGATTATTTTATGTTCAGATACAAACTCACATATAGACATGATGCATGTCCGTTGACAGATAATACACGATGTTTACTTAACTCAATCGGCGGGGTCGACCGCGGCGGAGACACTGACTTTCATATTCCACTCAAATTCACTACACATCAACATTGATTTAGAGTCTGATTTTGTACAACAAACCTTGGCGGTTATGGCTCAAATACTTGAAGCATGAGTGTTTATGAATGAATGAAGTATCGTCACTCGGTATCGAAGTAAGTGTAACGTAATATGCGACGAGCAGTTTTATATCTGTATTGCTATAAAAAGCAATAGGAATGTTCATAGAACATAGGAGTAATAATAATGGAACAGATAGGTTGAAGGGAACAGCTGAGTCTGCGAAAGCGGTTAATAATGTGGCGGTATGCGGGTCGACCGCGCAATGAAAACATCGCTATACGCGTCGGGGCCCGAACAAAACGTTTAATACGTTTAAAACAATACGTTCATAAAGCATTCACCGCAAACAGTGCATCAAACGATGACAAAGATATACCTGTATCGCACCATTCAAAATAATGTCCATTGTTGTACTTTTGATATATTTCGATTTCTAATTGTAACAGCTGATCTCGTATTGTTTGACGAGTCCCCCGGTTCGGAATATCTGTTTAAGGTCGTTTACTTTTATTTAGGTTATAAAGTGGAAACTGTCGGAATGCGGCTCGTAAAGCCGGGCGTTGATTAGAGAAAGCCGTGGGGTGGTCGGTTGTTATCGAGGCGCGTTTCAGTCAATAAAACGAACTACGCAAACAACCCTTGCCGCTGCAGTGCAAACGCTGAATTCCTCACCGGTTCCCATGCTTTATCCAATTTCATCGAACGGTCTGACTGCGCCGCTATTAGAAGGAAACAATGAGCTTGGTGTCGCGTGGCCGCCACGCCGTGAGATTAAACAACTTCGGAATTTTCCTGCCACGGATAGTAAGCAACGGGCTATATTCGATTATTTGTTGAATACAATATTTTGTAGATTAAAATAAAGGTTACGTAGTGGAGGTACAAAGAATACGAATTCGTTAGTCGACGGTAAAACTTACGAACTTATTACATATTCGAGATATCGAACAACATTCGTGTTGTTGGTTTTCGTATTATACATAAAATGTGCACGCCAAAATATTTGCCGAACCACTTGCGAATGTCTTGAATGCAATATATATCACAATGCTCGCATAAAATATATTATCAGCGCATTCTTTTGAAATGATGATATCGAAAACCGCTAGTAATCGTTATAATTTCTGTTCAGCATTTTTATATAAGACGTTATTTCTATATACGTACAGTGTCCTTGTTTTTTGATAAAAATCAAAGTTAGACTTCAGTTTGTTGGTCTGATGTTAGTTTTCCTCAAGACTCAAGTTCTCCGTTTCAAAACCACACAATTTTAATTTTTTTTCTTTTGTCGGATAGCCCGCATGGTTCGGGTCGGTGTAACTATCGAACCAGATGGAATTTATAGCTCTCGAAGGCAGTTATAATACATCGACATAACTTTAACTAAATGTACATTAAACCGAAATACCATCGATACAGATTTGTTATAAAAACTATTTTATTGATCACCTCAGTGAGACACAGACGGTGAGCTATGTTTTTATTGATCGGGATTAAAGCGAATTGACACTAAACGCAAGATATAATGTCACATTAGGACTAAGTAAGCGGCTAAGTGCAGTGCGGGAGGCGATTTTCTAAGAAACATATGAGCTTTAATGCTCCATCTTAACTTTCATAAACAACAAATCATGAATGGATAATGAATATGCATCAGTAATTAATACAAACTAACATAAATTAATTATTTTTAATAGGGTACTTAATGGCATGATATTAAATGTTATAATAGACATCGGTTACTAAAGGAAGACTTTACAGACATATTCAAAAGCAGAATCTTTATTAGCTATTAACAATACAGCGATAATTTATATATGTAGTGTGTGTGAGAATGTGTTTAACACACAAAAGTGAAAATTATGCGATCTTTTCCCTCATTTTTTATTCATTCTCATGTGCTTTGGACCTAAGTCTTCTTTCGCATCGTGCAGAAGATTCACATGAGTCGTGGTGTGGCATCCGCTAACAACACCCGATTAAGTACCCTATTTTAATGTACCAATTATTTTTCCACTCTTCATGAAGCTCAGTTGTTATGTTCTTTAAATAATGCGTCATTATTAATATGTATTTTGTAACTATGTATTCATATTATTACCTACATTTTTGTTTGACCTTTGCAATGTCTGAGTCACAATAGCGTAGGTAAGTAAAAGGTGAAATTTGTTATATCAGATGTTCATGTTTTGAATGTTCATACATGAATAAATCTAACGGTATTATTATTTAACATTCAATACATTTTATTTTAATTGCTGTCACTAACCAGCTACACTGCGTCGATCTTTATGATTTGACTCATTTAAATACTGATCTAACATTTAACCGGCGCTGGCGTCACATTTCAGTGGAATCTGACCATCTAATTTACGAACACATAATGTATTTTGTTTATTGGTTTGTTCGTCCTCGTGTTATTTATTCGATTAAGTTGAAAATTTGATTCGCTGTCGGTACTTCAAAGTTCCTGATATAGTTCCATCAACGTGTCAAGGTAGTGGCGTTAAAACAAGCGCTGGTGTATTTAATTTATTTAGCGAACATAGGCGGCATTTCAATAGTCAATAAAAAAACAAGAAAGACACGGCGAATTATTACAATAGAATCGATCGAGGAAGATAAAGGTAATTTCCTCATACAAGCCACCGTGAATCGTAACTCACAATCCAGTGATTATGAGTTCCCAATAATTAACTAGGTACATAAAAAAAAGAGGAGTGCCGTTCGAAATGATCACAGAATGTGGCATGTTTATAAAATAAGAGCGTAGCATCAATTACTTCAAATACTTTTGCTGGAGATAAATGACAATTTTTGCTTTATTCTCGAGATAAAAGGAAAATCGTACACCTTTCGTTTTCATGTTTTTTATCGCAAGGACAAACTTACAACGTAATCTACAATCAAGGATAAGCAGTTATGTAATCTACTAAGTACAGAGATGAAAACAGAGTGGTTATTCAATTAATTATTATATTATTCCAAAGAGGGTGTATTTAATTTTCTCTTTTGAGTAACTGGCACCGCACTCGTAAACTTATGCTTCAATTATAATAAACGTTTACGGTGGTGGCGGGCATGTGAGAACGCGGCAGGTTTTATGGTCGTGAGGCCGCGGGAACCCTGCATTAAAACCGCCGTGGATTCCGGCCGTGCTCTTTTTGTTCGTACTCCAGACCGGCTCTGCCCAACGTTCAGCTCGACAAAGATTTCTTTACGTATCGTATCAAATATACTTAAAAATAACACATAACGCATTCCTTAAACTTAAAATTACATTTGCGGTTTAGTTTAACGAAAAATAAAAGTATTCGAAATGTCGGGAACAATATAATTAAACAATATAGTACACAAAATAAACAGTAATACATAGAACTTTTCATTATGTCTTCGATTCACGAAAATCGATCGAAAATTTCAAAATTCACTTAAATTTTACAACATAGAAAGCCGAATGTGAAAACGCATGTTACGAACTAGCGTAGAAGTGATTTTAAATTGCTATTATTTAAATGCACTTGATTCATTAGTACTTTATTCACAATCGAGATATCGCTGTCACTGCACTTGACAAGCACAATTTTAAATTTACCATAGAAGTTATGCGCGTTACACATACTAAAATGTACAATTATTTTGCGACTTATTAAAAAATAGTTTAAATATAAAAAAAATGCTCGTTCAAATTGACGTGTAAATTAAGATAAATAGCTCCAAGAACGGGTCTACGGTATCTCGTAGATGCTCTACGAATTTGCTACGGAACTAATCAGCTTATTTTTAAACGAAATTACCGTTGACATTGAACATGAATATTCGATTCTTTTCATTTAATTTATTGTAAATATTTCAAATCGATAGTAATAATAATTTAAGATGCTTTTATTTCCCTTCCAAATGTACATATTAACAGTTCCTTATTGTTGTGAACTCGTGATTACGGTTTGTCTTAAATAAATCAACTGGTAAAAACCTGAACAAGATTTAATTTAGACATATCTGTCTGAAAAGTTACTCTGTGTCACAAATACGAGAGTGTTGGAACGACCGATAAATTTTTTCAGTAGTTTTATTATTTGGGTGCTAAGTGGTTTCCGCAGCTTGTGGGCATTAAAACCTGAATGCCGCCACCCATCTCGAGACATGAGGTCGAAGATTTAATTGTACGCCGCAGAGAGAGTAGTCCGACGCTCGGCGAGAACATTACCAGAAAGTTCCACCTGGAGTGTACCAAGTGTAAAATGTGATAACTATTCGAATTCAATGAGCTATCTTCTAATAGAGTATTCCGATGTGTTCACGCGGAGAATATACGAGTAGTGCATCACGGGCGAGACGGAGAGTGCGTTGTCGTGTCGTGAGAAAAAAATAAGCGGCGCGGTTCGCCTGTAATTGGTCTGATTGAAACGCGAACCTCGTTCGGCGGTTCTTCCGAGAAGTCCGACGGCTCGTTAAGGGACACTCTTTGACGGGCCGTTCCCTTGCCAATGAAAACGGTCGCATTCCGCTTCGGTCAAATGACAACAATCATTTTCAATATGACCCTGATTACAACTCAACATCCGAATCATTAAAACATTGTCTTAAGGTCCATCGGAAAATTACCTAAAAAAATTGTAGGATATTAATATGGCAGATCGGATAATTATGAAAAGATAAAGAACGACCCTAATTAGTCTCACACGAGTGCACGAATGCACTTACAGACAAAACGAGTCTCGTATTGTATTTCATTATATCGCGACGCGAAAACGTAGCGTGCACATTATTATCTACGGGACGAGCGCCGGGGCCCCGGCCGGGTGGCCACAATGCGCCCAAAATGCAACCTACAGACTAAATACTGTACAGACAAGACGCGTGAATGCAAATACTATGATGCACCAGCAACTGTAGTCATACACGCCACATAACTAGACGCGTTAAGTAGCGTCTGTAGTTATTAACTACGGGAAACGACGTTTATAACAATATCGTCTATTTTTGTACGAGTCTCACGTAGATGTATTTACGGTTAATACGTAGATTCATTAAATTTTATTTTCGGTACAGCCCGGACTATACAAAGTGCCAGAAGGTGAATAGTTGTGACCGATACGATGACAACGTGGCGCGGGCGTTTTCCACGCGCGATATAGGTTAAAGACGTTGGCTGATATTAGTCACGCTGCATTACAGATATAATATGGATACAATGTGCATTTTTCTTAATTATCTAAATCGAAAACTCGATGTAGACAAAGTATTTTATTTGTCTTCAACTACCGGATAATCGGTTAGCAGTAATAACAATACCTCAGCATCAGCCGGTAATTAAATATACACAGTAAAAAAAAGAAGTAAAAACCCAAGTTTTCGAATTAAATTATTCTAAAACATTGAACGTGAGTAGACGTTTAATCTGTTGTCTATTTAATTAGTGTAGCTACCGTTTTAAATCTGAAATTCCGATCTATCGCGGATGTGCAGCTCGCGAATGTTTTAGAAATCAGTCTAAGATGATTGCACGCGCTGCTAAAAACCACTGCATGCGGCTGCCATGGAAAAACCTGCCCACACGAAACCGCATCACTAATGAGACAGCTGTTGCTTCACACGAAGAAATACAAATACCTTAAGATTCTCACAGCTAGACATTGTATGGCGCATGCCCGCAATCAGGGTATCTTTTTTTAACGGTCAGCAATAAAGGCTTATTATTATTATTATAAGGAGAAGAAGTACGAGTGACAGCCTTTCTGTTATAATTTTAATTCCCACATCAAGATATGCTATTACAGTATAATAAGCGATAAACAGCAGTTTGATGTTCATTCCCGACATCCATGACGTCATAGTAATTATAACCAATTTTACGGTTTAGGACGGACGAATCTCAGTAGCCCGCGACCACGAAAACTGTGAAGTATTCGAAAAGTCGTGAAGAATATAACGACAATAAAAACAGCGAGATTAAACCGTAAAAAGATATTTAATTATGTCTTCAAGTCGCAAAAACCGAAGAAGGTACTATCCATGACGTTCATTAGCGCCAATGACCATTCCACATCAGGTGGGTCGTATAATCGTCTGCCTACAATGATAATAAAAAAAAAACTTCGATCTTTATACTGTATTCTGTATTCTAATCTGTGAATCGGACGTATTCTTGACCTAAAGGTCTTAGTTACCAAGTCAGAAAATCTCTTAAAAAAATCGGACGTATTTTTGTTGAAAATTTTAAATGATAAGAACTTACGCAAAGATCGGTAAGGGTGATGCTGTTTGCGGTGTAGAAGACAAGTAGGTCGGCGGGGAGGGCACACGATCCTGGCTCACGGAGTTTGGAAGCCAACAGTAGACAGGCTGTGCCCAAAAGTTGCACTTGACTTTTTCCCACCGCGCAGATGCTCAAGAACCGATCCAGGAACGATATCGCCAGTGGAAAGACTTCTTCTTGGCAGCCGCGATCTTCGCATACCTGAAAAAGGAACGACCGTTATACATCATTTGTTAACGTTAATATTTCTCAGGAGCGCTTTAGTGTTACCGCACCGAGGCCGCTGCTTAGTTTATCACCCGGAATTCCTGATAACCTATATTAAATGAAAATAAACATATTGCGATAAATACAACGCAACATGCTATTCTATTGCAGTTATTACGTTTCTTATCGATCACGGACCGTTTCTTTAAAGTAGGTTGAAGTTGTGGTTCTTAGTCNTAACGTTAATATTTCTCAGGAGCGCTTTAGTGTTACCGCACCGAGGCCGCTGCTTAGTTTATCACCCGGAATTCCTGATAACCTATATTAAATGAAAATAAACATATTGCGATAAATACAACGCAACATGCTATTCTATTGCAGTTATTACGTTTCTTATCGATCACGGACCGTTTCTTTAAAGTAGGTTGAAGTTGTGGTTCTTAGTCAAAGACCGATTAAGAATATCATTGTCGTTAAACGTGTAGGTATGAAATGAAAACGTCGTGTGTGTCAAGAATACGTTTGATTGTTATGTGTGAGTAGAGATTCAGTAAAAAACTGGTAGGTAAGGACACAAATAGAGATAGTTATGTGTGGCGGTTGATGTATGGACATAGTACGTTCCCTGCATAGTTTCGCACGGTGTCGTTGTAACGCGACTCCGGGCCTCCGACGAGCCGACTCAAATGGTCCCACATACTTTGTGAACGCTTATTCTCGGTCTCACCGGTTCAACACAGTCATTGTAGATATTGAAGTCGATTAAGTCATTGTGAGAACACTACGTCCATTGTTTTAGATATTTATCAATGAAATTAAGTTAAGGTTGAAGGTTGAAGTTAGAATTGGGCTGCATATTAAAATTGCAACATTCCAGATTTTGTATTCCCGTGAGGTTGTTGAAGTTTTGATGAAACTTTATAAATATGTAAGTCAGAATTATTTGAAAATTAAACGTTAAAGTCTAAGATGTCATTGACCTTACAGTCGTGGAGGAACGATTCGGTCTGCTTGTGCTGAAATGTTGGTATGCGACTTGTTTAGTTGTAGCCACGAGGTGCCGGTAACTTGGTCGCGCATGCGCCGTCGCGCCGCCATGCCATAGCAGCGCATTCATTGAATGACGTCAGCGCGCACCGCCGGCGCAGAGTTAGTCGCTTGAACACGTGGACTTTTAAACAGCTGACTAGGTAATACTTTTCGTAAGCCGGTATCGTTCTCTCCTAACTTATCTACTTTATACCTATTTAAACTTAATCTCATTAATCTAAGAATTCTAAACGAATAAACTATAATAACATAGTAATGTATCTTTGAACGCATATTAAAAACGAAGATGATCGTATGTTAAGATTGTTCGAATATTGAACTAGATGTGTTCCAACGAGTTCAATCATATACGCCCTGTCAATTATTTATTTTGTATCAACGATAAGTGCGCAACGGAGCGTCAGCTGTGTGCGTGTCAAAATCAGCTGATTATTCAAATAGAACGAGCACGGAGTCGCATCGGTCGGCGACCGCGCCCGCTCGCGCTACGTACAGGGGCCCCTCGGTTCTCATCGCTCCAGTCACCTCGCAGCTAACTTGATATCATTGTACCTACCTTCGCTATGCGAACATTATGAGCCTTTTTGTTTTAGAGTAGGTATTTATTTTGTCATGATTCCACTTGACTCGGTTAAGTGATTAGTTAATTAATATTTCCTACTAGCAAAAAAAGAACAAAAAATCTTATAAGAAACTACTGATACAAGAATGCAATCAGCTGATCATGTAAACAACGTCAGTTTCTAGTTGTGAAATTTGGTAACCCGAATTCCGATTTTACAAACGTTGATAAACCTAGATAGTGAAAAAACCTTTAGTACCTAGTACTTATTTCGAATCATAAATGGAACACTGAATGATAGGCACAGACATGAACTCGACGGATATTGAGTTGGAAGACAGTGCGACTTAGTTCTTACCGATGTGGTAACTGTTTTAGGGAGCATACGAAATCATTGATGTGGATGTCATGTCCAAGACTGGAGTTACCTACACGTGGCTGGGAAACGAGACAAAATGGCGTTCAGCGGCACGAGTGTTGGTTTGCGGGTGCGGCATGCGGCGCGGGTGCGCTCACCTCTAGCATCCACTCGGCGACGAGACGGCGCATGTGAGGTGTGATCTCGGTCTGCACAGTGCCGAAGTAGTTAGCGGTGACGGCATAGCGCTCCTCGGTCCGCAGCAGGTTGTCGAGCACGCGGCGGCGCAGCAGCACCGGGTCGGGTGCAGCAGCTTGCGGCAGCCGCGGTGCGCCCTCGCCACTGCCGGGGCTGACGCGTTCCGCGCACAACAGCTCCATGTTTATCCGAACGGTCACGTACGCGTCGCGAAGGATATGATTTGTTCTGCGCGGAGTGCTCGACAGCTGATCGGTCGGGAGCGAGCGCCGGAGTGTTGCACGTAGTGTTGCGACGACGACGAGCGCCCGAGTCGCAGTGAGCGGCCGGTGCGAGACTCGCCCGCCGACCGAACATATGATCGGAGCGGCGCGGCGCGGNAACAGCTCCATGTTTATCCGAACGGTCACGTACGCGTCGCGAAGGATATGATTTGTTCTGCGCGGAGTGCTCGACAGCTGATCGGTCGGGAGCGAGCGCCGGAGTGTTGCACGTAGTGTTGCGACGACGACGAGCGCCCGAGTCGCAGTGAGCGGCCGGTGCGAGACTCGCCCGCCGACCGAACATATGATCGGAGCGGCGCGGCGCGGGGGCAGGGCGGTGCCAGTGAGGCCCGCACGCAGGTTTCTCCCATTCGACGGCGTCCAAATAATAATACATAACATATTTCTTGCTCACTCACATCTCACTCCAACTTCCAAGACGTCTCGTTTTTTTCTTTCTATTGACCGCTCCAGGCTCAATTACATTATGTAATTAAAATTAAACAATGTCATGAAATTTTATTGTAAATGGTAGAAATAGACCTACAGTTTGAAAATCAAAAAGTACGAGATCTTATTCTTTATTCAATTCAAAATTTAACATTAAACTTATTTAAGCTCTTCAAACCATTTCTTTTTTGACAACTAATATGCAATACCTATTATCAAAATTTCATCTTCTCGTTTCATTCAACTATTAGAATTTGAACTGAATCATCAGTGTTGCCGCATTTTTCGACAACAGTTTTTTTTATATGTCAGTACAGAGTTGGTCAATATACCTTTTTTTGTATGTTTTTATTCTTCAATTCGTTTTCTTAATTGCACAATTTTATGGTTCAGTCTACCATATTCTTGGAACGACTGTGTTCTTCTCTATCTACGGCCGAATCGCCTCATTACCTAGGGGAGTTTTTTAACTTCAGTGGGTAAAGTCCCTTTCAACAAGAAACATTTAAGTACCTACAACTTCTCATATCTTAAAAAGAAACTGTCTAAGATCTACTTGTTTCCGCAGTACATTTTGATTTTACATCAATATATGTACTTATTTCAGTTTACGTACCGATCAGGACCAAACTTTATGGCAATTCACAAGATGCAATATAACGCTTATAATATTACCATCTATCTGCGGAATAAAAGTTACTTTTCGCGATTAATTGAAACGGATTCAGGTTTTCGACCCGAAAATCAGTGGCAGAGCCGCAATCGTGGTAAAAACTTAATAGCTTTTTATGTGTCTGGTATCCATTGATTTTAACTATCCGAAGTTAAAGAAAAAATAAGGAAAAGATCGCTTTGAAATTTTATAGTTTGATTTCAATTTTCAGTCAGGGTTGGCTTAAGCAGTAATTTTAATACTGATGAAAAATATCGGTATTGGTTTATATATCACACATTTTTAAAATGAACCTATTCTATATAACAATGTTGATAATTTAGCAAAGACCTTTTCTCCTCTTTTCGTCAACCTGTTTTGTTTTTGCTTAGTATAATTTTAGTTTAAATTAAATTTGGGAACAACTAGCTTTTTTCACGCCTTTACACGAAACAATTATTTTTTATCGACACGCTGGTAGCCTAAGAGGCTATTCTAGCTACGCCCGGACAGTGAGCTCACGAGGTCAACCTGATAGAATTTGCTAAAGAAAGCCCTAGCGAGAGCAGTGCTTAGCATATTCTACCACTTGATCGGAATCGCGACCCACTGAGAAGATCCGGCGAGAAACTCAGTTGGCCGTGTCTCCAGATTAGTTCGCTCGTAATCGACGAGCTCGACGAGGACGGTAACCGGTGCTTGAGTGTCCTAAAAGCACCGAGAGTGAATCCGGGGGATCTGACAAGATCTATGTTTCGGGCGACTATGCGTTGCCCCGTCGCGGTCAGCATAAAGTGAATTTAAATCTTAAGATGACAGTTGATTAAAATCGAATTTACACCATGCATAGTCGTTTTAAAATAAATTAATCACTAAGATAGAATAGATGTATATATGTATTATAAATATTAATTATGTTTAATATCTCAATAATTGGTAGAAAACAATAAATTTATATGACACTAAATATCGTACAAGTTTTGCGCTACATTCCACCAATTTGATTGCAAAAAGCCGTTCTAAATCCTCTTTGGTGGCGGGCTGTAAAAGGTCGATCAACTATTTCGCGGGCGTTTTTGTTAAATCATAGCATATTTCTAATTCAAAAATGCACCCAAAATACTTGGTGATTACAATAGTTTTTAACCACATCGCTTGGTCGAATTTATAAGAAATCTTAACGAGGAATTGGAAATAACATACTTTAAAAAAAAATAGATATGTATTTTTCGAATCCACAGGTAGCAGCGCAAGGCACGGTTAGTGAAGCAAGTTTATAATTTTTATTAGGAAATACGAACATTGTAGAACTCGTATGAAAATGGTCAAATTCTTGAGTAGTCTGCGACCATGGTGACGTTCCTTTGGAAATCAACAGCCAATATATATTTACTTCGTATTCTTAGTCCGCACTAATGCGATGAAATGGCATTGAAAATGTTGAGAATTCCTGTTCTAAAACGGTTTTTTTGAAGGGGAACGTGTTGCGATGTATTGACTGGGCTTAACTTAGACTTGGTCAATGCTATGGTTGCAGGGCCGAATGCACAGGAAGTGCGCTATAACTCAGCGCCATTAATCATCGACTGCCCGGCTTCCATCAATAGACCTCGCGAGTGCGAGGGTGACACTTTTATTGTTTCACCGAATTTTTTTGCAGCGGATACGCTTGTGGTCGTGTTCAAAATAATGTAAGGCCCTGATTTTATTCACGTCTACGTGCATAAAACAGATAGAATTCTGTTTACATGTACGTATGCCACCCACTTTGATATATGCAAGCGAAATTTCAGTTGCATTAAATTATAATGGTTGACCATTTTAAATATGGAATGTATGACTGCTTCGCGAAGTACCTATGTATATAGATAGGAAGGTGGAATCCGTCCATAAGGGCAGACAACGAGTCCTACAACCAGAAAATTTCCCCATTTTTAATTGAAATATAGTTTTAAGAATTTGTTCCCTTTTGTTTTTGGAATATGGGCACCACTTTAGGTTGCCAATTTTAGTGTACTCCTCATAAACCATTTATTGTATTTGTTGCCTAACAATAGTGATCTAAATAGTACCTTATACGAAAACTTAGTGTGCACCGGATGCACAGCGGACGCGGCAGACAGCCGTACAATATGATTCTCGTCGCGCTAGAATCAACCCCGGAGGCAAAGAAAAGAATCTCATGTCTCAAAACGATATGCGGCCTCTCCGGGGTCACCATCGAAGCCCCCCATAAACGTGGTACTCCCGGGCAGTGCCACAGGTGCCAGCTCTATGGCCACTCAGCGCGTAANGACACAGCCCACTGAGTTTCTCGCCGGATCTTCTCAGTGGGTCGCGTTTCCGATCCGGTGGTAGATTCTGCGAAGCACTGCTCTTGCTAGGGTCAGTGTTAGCAACTCTCCGGTTGAGCCCCGCGAGCTCACCTACAAACGTTAGGGTGAAGCTGAAATAGCCTCTCAAGGCTATCAGCATAGGTAGGGAAAAAAAAAATATACGAAAACATTGAGAACGTGAACACATAATTGGGTTGTGAGTTGTGAATTGTTATTTCCGCAAAAAAAAAAAAACAATGAATAGCTTTGAGTTATAATAGGCACAGAAATATTTTAGACCTTTGACCGGATACGTTTTTAGTTCCTTGCCTGTATTGAAATGAGCAGAACAATGAACAGAATTTCAAAACACGGCAACAACGTGCTGTTACTAGTGCGAGCGGGACATCGTTCTTTCTTAGAAGTCCGACACAGCATATTGTAGTATAGAGTCACAGTTGCTGAGATTACGTATGCTTTATTTTAATGCCATAACCGTAAAACACAATATTAATATAAAACTAATAATTTTAATTTTTTTTAACGATTTAGAGAAACTTAAATTTCAATAAGTATGTACCAAATTAGACTGTGACACATATTCGTAAATTGTAAAGGTCTTAAAATACTTTTCAACACTGAAGGTGTATGAACGTCTGTGGTGTTCTAATTCAATACAAACATGCATTAATTTCGTATCAACATAAAATACTGCTCTAACACTTAATTCCCTTAAGTTTTGGGAATTTATTGTGGGCCCAGCAACATCGAATGGAACGCGGCGAAATGGAATGCAACCGGGACTGTTGGTCGGCCGAACCGCTACTAAAGGTAATAAGTAACTTAAGTATGCTTATAGGCTCTCTGTAAAATGAATAAATAAAATTTGAAATAAGTAAGCGAAAAATAACAAAAAAGCAAGCTCCTTTTGATAAAAAGTTTTACAGCTTTTTAATACGCCGCGTGTTTTGCCGTAAATATTTTTATTTGATACACGAAACATTATCGTTCTGCAGCATGTTTTAGCTTATACTTTTGTGTGGGTACAACATTTTAAAATTATGTGACTCATTGAGAATTGTCTTCATTTATTTTAATACAAACCTTAAACGTTGCAATCGATTGAAACACAAACTTTATTCATGGGAAAATACACTGCAGCAGAATGAAATAATAGGTTGGGGAAAAAGTCTTTTCGCATTATAGTATGTATGAGCTTGTAATAAAATCTCTTTGGCTATACCTAATATTTGTATCTGGCTGGTTTTGTTTATTAAAAGTTTAAATTTTAAAGAAGATAATTCCAAATTCAAATTAGGAAAATGTGTGATTCTTATTTATTTTTCGTACTGTCAAGATGAGTGAATCTAATGAAGATATTCGATACATTTTAAAATTTTACTACAAAAATCGCACCCTTTTTCAAGACGCTGATAACTGGTGATGAAAAGTGGATCACGTACGGCAAAAACGTGCGAAAAAGGTCGTGGTCAAAGGCCGGTCAGGCTTCACAGACAGTGGCGAAACCCGGGTTAACTCGCAACTAGGTGATGCTGCGTGTATGGTGGGATTTGAAAGGCATTCTTTATTATGAGCTGTTACCACTAGGAAGGACCATCGATTCTGAACTCTACTGCGAACAACTGATGAGATTAAAGCAAGAAGTTGAGAGAAAGCGGCCGGAATTAACCAACAGAAGAGGTGTGGTTTTTCATCATGCTAACGCTAGACATCAAATTCAGCCACTCAGCAAAAATTGAGAGCGCTTGGCTGCAGTGTTAATGCATCCACCGTATAGTCCTGACCTTGCACCTTCAGATTTTCATCGTTTCGGTCTCATCAGAATTATTTAGTCAGTGTCAGGTTAACATCACGAAAGGACTGCCAAAACCAATTGTCACGGTACTTTGATCAGAAGCCCCAAAATTTCTATAGCAATGGGATCATGTCCCTACCTACAAGATGGCAAAAAGTTATCGAACAAAATGGTACCTACATACTTTAGTTAAATGTAAATAAACTATATAAAAAACTGTTGTGAATTTTCTTAA